TACCGGTTCAAGATGCTAAATAATTACAGCCACGCAACCTGGGGACAATATACAAAGCGACCGTCTAGTACTAGCAGTTTGCTATGGATAACTAGGATGAGCCTTCTCTTAACCTGTCTGATCCCTCTTGCACTGCGCTTTAAAATGCACCTGTATATTATGCGGAAGAGTCCATGGCTCGCTGAGGCTTGTGGTGTCGAGATCCTGACATATCGTTGACCCGTTGCTCCCATTGTTGTGCCATGGACTCACCGCCTGGACGCCTCCTCATGGCAACCGCTTGGTGGGATTTGGGTAACGCTTTACTTCTCGCTAAAAGACAGGACACATACAATTCTGTTTGAGTCGGTTCACTGACTCGTGACGCATGGCCCCATGCTTTTCGGGAGTACATTTTATTTAAGGCATAGGTTGAAGACCCGTGTCGTTCCCCTGTCAGGTATGGACGTCCTGGCAGTATTCTAATCCAAAGCCTAACTATGAATCGCGCCGATACTAATAACCCATGCTGCAGCGGCCGTCGCTCAGTTGCATTAGGAAAAGGGTCGCCTTATTTGTTGCATGCAGTGTGGTGGATAAGCGAAGTCACTGACTCTGGCGCCTCGTTTCTCCTCTCTTTGAACGTAATTTCCTCTTCCCCATTTCACCTAACCCCTTAACTCCTCCAATCCAAGCCACCACAAGAACGATTGTCTGGCGCAAGCGTATGCCCCGCGGAAAGCTCTCCATCCTGGTTACTGGAACGTGCGCAAACGTCTCGACCGGAATACGAATGAGCACACCGAGCGACGCCTTGCATTAGTCGCGCTGGAACTCGCGTGCTACGGGATCAGTATTGCTGCGCTCAGCGAGAGTCGGCTCGCTGACCAAGATAAGCTGCATGAGAATGGTGCGGGTTACACATTCCACTTGGTGGGAAACGCCACCACAGCACCACATGAACATGGGGTCGGATTTGCACTACCGACCGCCCAAATGGTCAGCTGGTTGGAGAGCCGAGTTGTATCAACCTGCGAGTTAGAAGAGGTAAAGCTGCAACTTTATTAGCAAGTATCGTCCCACTAAGTGTTGTACTGATGACACGGGGATCGGTTTTACACTTTTATCCTCTTTGACACGTCCCGTGCCGAAAAGCGACCGGTTATTCCTACTGGGTGATTTCAACACACGCGTTGGTTTCGATGCCGCAGTGTGGGCAGACCTAGTCGGTCCCTATATTATTGGCTCAACCAACAGGAACGGTGACCGGGTGCTCTCACTCTGAGTCACTCAGGAACTGACCATCACCAACACACAATTTGCACTAAGTGCGAGTGAGGTAGCAATTTGGATGCACCCACGGAGTTGTCACGCTCACCTGATCGACTGTATCAGGGTATGCCAGCGAGACATGCGGGTGGTACGCATGACACATGTACTGCGTGGAGCTGAGTATGGCACTGATCACAGGTTTGTGCGGACCAAATAGTGCATATATTTTCGTAAAGTTGTGTATTGTTCACTTGCCTTGCGTAGGCAGAAACTTAAGGTACTTTACTGAGGTACTGCTGAGAAGTGGATGAAAATGGAAAAGGCGATTATTACCCGCCTTGATGATGTCTATTTTACTGCGTCTGTCAGCGAACTATGGCACCGCATCCGTCAACAAGTGGCTGCTGTTGCCAAGTAAACGATCAGATACGCAGACTGTAATCTTCCCGATTGGTTTGATGACAACAGCGCAACCATTGGCGCATGAGCGTCGGAGAAGAATACAGTGTTCGCAGCACATGTGGCGGACCCTACCGACTCCGAGAAGGAGAGTTATTTCGCAAACCACGACGGTGATCAACTCGAGAACTCTATCGCATCCAGAACGCGTGGTGGATGGAGGTGGAGCAGATGGAATGCAACGCCGAAGGCCGCCAACATAAGGAGGTTTTGCCTCCGTGAGGGTGTTGTATGGATCCAGTTTGTAGCTGATAAGGATGCTGGTGGATAGTACTTCAGGCGCTGCCTGTACGCAGCCTGTAAACGTACTGCAGTTCTGGTGCAAACACTTTGACTGCCTCTTGAACAACCGTTCAGTGCTTGACTGGCCTACGTTGCACGGGCTGCAACAATACTTGATAAGGATATGTCTTGCCGACATACCGCCAGTGCTTTAGACTCTAAGGGCACTTGCTCAGCTGCGAAACGGCAAATGCACTGGAGCCGACGGAATACCGCCAAAAGTGTGGAAACATGGCAGACTCACGTTGATGGATTCGCTGCGCCACTTCCTGCAACACGTGTGGTTTGAAGAACGTGTGCTATTTAAGTTGAAGAATGCTCTTGTGCTGCCGCTGTTCAAGGGCACAGGGGGCACGCAATGCGCCATGAATTATCATGGTACCAACCTGCTGGGTTGTGTGGGGAGGTGATTGCTCGAATCTTGCCCCAACTGCCTTGTTACTCAGGTCGGTGAACCGAATGTGGCAGATGAGCAATCCGGATACCTTACTGATCTCAGCACCACAGATCTGATGTTCACGGATCATTAGTTGCAGGCGAAGTGCAGAGAACGATACAAGCCATTGTACTCGTTGTTTCTAGACTTCAGCAAAGCATTTTTCCACGGTGCGCTGCGAGGCGCTGTGGCTCGTCTTGGGTAAGTTTGGCTGTCCGAGTAACTTTTTAAGTCTATTTGATAATCTGCTCAGTGGTATGCGGACGAGGGCGCAGCTGTGTGGACAGACCTCGGTTAAATTTACTGTTGTCTCTGGTGTGACGTAATGCTGTGTCTTTGCTCTTGCCCAGTTTAGTGCTTTGATGTCTTGGACTTTCGATGGTGTTTGTGAGTATGGTATCTACGGGGAGCTGTGTACTGATGGTGGGTTGCTAAACATCTCTCGTTTCGGTGCGAGAACCCTGGTGTGTAGGACAACCATCCGTATGATGCTGTCTGCCGAGGACTATGCGTTATTTGCACACAGCGCGGATGAGTTGCAGCACATGTCTTCGGCTCACCCTTCGACAACGGCCAAGTTCGGGCCCATCATCAACACAGGCAAGACTATCTCTTTCGGCCTTCACCAGGTATGGCATCCGCAGGCCTGTTGCAAATCTAGAGTAGTACCCATCGTTTTAGAAGCCCCCTCCAGGTTTTGATCCACGGGCAGCGTACTCTTTAACAACCTATAGATGATGAGTGAGCTGAACATCCACCTACGAAGGCGGCTACCGCATTTAGAAAGCTGTAGAAACCGGTGTGGCACAATGAACGTCTGACCACTGGCACAAAGCTGATGGTATACAAGTCCATGGTGCTGTCCGTGCTTCTATGCGGCAGTGATACCTGGACACTTTATGGGACGGATGTCCGTAACCTGGAACGACTGCAACATCACTGCCTTCATCGGATTCTGTGCATCGGTTAATTTGATAGAGTTGCATGTATGCAGTTGACTGCATACTTATGCAGCGTCATCTGAGGTGGATTGGGGCTATCAGCCGCATGGATACGACACGGATACCCATGCAGCTGCTATATGAACAACATAGTTCAAGGAAGCGGCACATGGAAAAACCAAAGTTACCTCACCAGGACATTAGCAGGATGAGTAGATGAACAACCAATGTTGATTTTAAGTGTTTGGAACCAAGGCAGTGGATCGACGCGAGTGGCGTAAGTATATCAATTGGGTAGTTGCCCAGGTGCATGAGAAATCATTGCTGCTTGCGGAAATGAGACACCGGCTACGAAAGCGACAAGCGCCGATGGTTTCCAGTCAATCATCGTAGAGCGGGTGGTGCTTTAGCGCATGCGGCCGCGAATGCCTGAACCAAGCGGGCGTGGTAAGTCGCCAGCGCCACCATGGGAGTTCAACATCGAAGAGGGTACAATTCGGTTTAATAGGTCCTAATCATCAGTGCAACGCCTGGTAACTACATTGCTTTCCATTCCACTTACTAACCCAGGCTAATAAGGCGGTTGATGTCGTACGTGTGCTACTTTATTGTTACAGTTGGTCCGTAAGTCTGTCTACATGTTGAGTTTCTTGAATTTCAGGTGCTGGCGTTTGATTATATCCCTGGTGTGGTTGCGCTTGATGTGAGTTAGACAAAGTGTCTACCTGACTGACACCCTCCACCTTGATTACTGGCTCAGGAGACCGCTAATCTTTGCTATGGTTCTATCCGGGAATCAGATAAAAACATAAAAAAGGGAAATATATAATGATGATTGAAAGCTGGGCTGAAGGGAATCGCCTACCCGTGCGGTCGATCAGGCAATCGATCGAGCGGACGAATGCATTTTCAAACACTCGGCTAATTGGACTTTTGCCTCAGAGTTGAGAGGACAATGTTTTCGGCGGCATTTTCTGGCTACGTTGGCCGAGTTAGTGTTAACACGTTTTTCGTGGTCAAGGCTGTTGGAATTTTGATTTTTCTTCGGCTGGGCTAGAATTGCTGCGGATAAATTTCTGGGTGGTTAATTCGGAATAGCGAAAAAGGGAAGATCTAACAGGTTCACCGAGTGCATGGTCCTCGTGACCGTGCTACGCTCAGAGAGTGGTTATATCCTGTGTGGAGCAGACTATGGCCAGGCCAATGCCTCGTGTACGTCTGGTACGCATGATTCCCTGCATAGATAGACAGGAATGCTGCTACTGTGCATGTGGAATATGTGTGGGCCGGCTCCGTTGATGAAATGTGGCTCCCATCCACATATCTCCCAGCTTTATTTCTTCGGGTTTACACTAAATATGCTGTGTGTGATGGAAGCGTAGGTGGTGCAGCGCAAGGCACCCATGGTCCATCTGTAGGCGCAGCCTTGCTGTGCCTTCCCTCTAGGATGAAGGTAGAGAGGCGAATCCGGGAACGAGTGCGGCCAACCATGTATACGTCAAGTGTGCAGGTTATTTATTGACGGTTGAGAACTTGGTGCATATTTATTTTGTCCGTAGATTAACTTGGTGTATCCATTTTTGAAGCGAATTTGTTATTCATGTTTGTCGATTTTCCCTCATAAATTTTAGGTTTGAGGAGCTGCTATTGTTTAACGAACTGCAGAGGAGCAATACCAAAGCCCTTAATCAGCCGATTACCATTCAAGTGAGTTGAATCCCTCATTGAAGTTGCGTGGATGGAGTAGGATGTGGTAGTGCTTTTGAATGCAGCCTCTATTTCGCTTAGTTGTTTACTTGGGCCGCCACAGACGTATGAAAAGCGCAACAGTAGTTGTGTTTAAACCTTTTCCACGGTAACCAATATCGTCCTGTTGAACATCATCACTCGGCGTTAAACCATTCGACACATTACTCCATGGTTTGGCGAATATAGTTTATGAAGTGGCCCGATAAATTATATATATATACATATATATATATATATATATATATATATATATATTCAACGCTTGGCCAGTAATCAATTGGCAGAATCACGCAACACATGGTTAACGACAAAAGGAGTGAAAGTGGCCGTCAGGGGAAACGCTACGTAGGTTTATTTGTTGTGTAGGCAGATATCTTCCTGGTTGCTCAGGCAGATATTTAAAATGGTAAAGTATATAAGCGTTTGTAGCACGGACAGATTCAGTTGTTACCTCAGACGTTGATTTAGCCATGTAAGTTACTGAGTTGATTACCAAATTTCTCGCATTCTGTTTTATTATATAACGCATATCGATGACTTTAACATGCCATTGCTTATGACACACATCATGTTACGTTGTTTATTCGAATTTATTCTAATTGGTTAATTGCGTCGAAACGCACACCCTATTCCAACATCGGCTGAAATGAGAAGATGCGCAACAACCACATGTGATTCTAACTTTCCACGGGTAAAGCATGTACTATTCTGTAAAAATGCCTAATACGGATGATAAAGCCAAGGACTGACAGCTCCCGTGTGACGGTTTTGTGAATTACGTAAATTCAAAAAATGAAATTACACTGAAGGGAAACGCGCATTTGTGGACTGACCATATTACCCACACATGTATATCCGTTTAGGCCGATTTCGTAGCGGTGGCCAGCACAACGTCTCGCTGCGTCTTTTCTTCGCTCGATGGACAGAATTCAAAGCAAGTGACACAGATGGTGCAATGCATCGTCAAGTCGTTATTAAATAATGGGCAAATTGAGTGCCGAATAAACATAAGTTGAAAGATCATTCAACGGCTGATAAATAAGAGGAGGAAAGCAATTCCGTCAACATTCCCACCGACTGTATTAGGTAACCAGTTTCAGCCGGGGATTTTTCAATATCTGGTACGCCAGGACGAGGTCTCTCCGCAAACGGCGACAACTTCCGCTGTACACTCCTAGGGCTTTCAAGCGCGGTTGATATGGTAAGTGGAACGATCCCTCCATATTTTTGGTTGCTCTTCGCTGTGCGATCTCAAGTGCAACCGGGCCGAGTTTTAATCAGTGTTACCAGGCCTGAATCGTCTACTCTACATGGAGTATCACATACGTGCTGAGCATCTGAGAGAAGATTGGGGGATCGAACCGACCGAACGCCCTCCGTAAGTGACCAACTTGTTGGTCCGCGGTTTTGGACGTCTTCAAGCTTTGCGCCGAACAGCCAACGTTGTCTTGCATCACCACCACAATGTCGCGATGCTGCGGGGCGATCTTCAAGTAGTGGTTTCCAAGCGTGTATACGTTAGTGGGCTTGTGGCGTACATTTACAGTTTTGCACTTGTCCACGCCGGGCGCAAATAGATTTACCTTTGGCCATTCAAAAGCACCGTCTAAGTCTCATTGCAGCAGATGGTATTCTACTTGACTTTCGATCGACCACCATAACTTGATGTCATCAGCAAAAAGCAGAAACTTTGGCTCCATGACGCGCACATGGTCTTTACTGAAGACTAAGAATAAGCGTGTCTCCAACACTGACACTTGTGTAATAGCAATACGATCAGAAAGCGAGCACCGAACGATATCCTGAGCGATGCCTATTGGCAGTCCGTGGCAGATACTTTAGTTCTAAAGACATATATCCCCTAAAAGGGAAGCACCCATGTATAAATGGATGCTTTATGCCTCGTTTTGGCTCAGCTAATAGCCACTGCGATCCAGAGCGTTTGCTGTCCACATCCGTTACATTTGAACACAGGCACCTTCCGCCCTATTTCTACCGCATACTAAGAAGAATATGAATTCCGAATAGCATGATTGGCCATCTCTGTATGTGTCCGCAATCTCGGAGCGAATAACGCTAAGGTCGTAACTAAATGAGCCTGTTTGGATTTGTTGTGCTTGACATAATAAAAGGCGAGCTGCGGCAGCGAAGAGGTATTAAGTCAGAACACGTGTTGTATAAGATCTGCCTTGAAACACTGTTTGATTCTTCGAGTGAGTACAACTTCACCGACGTAGTCAGCGGTACGACATCCTTATTCATCTTGTTTGATTGAAACGTGTGAAATAAACAAACAAAAACACTTCCATTGGCAGGACTAAGGTGTCACGTGTGGGCTTCGAGCGGTCAAAGAGGTCTAATTGTTGTGTTCAAAAATTTCTACGTTGCAAATTCACAAATAATCTGTTTGCATTTCACCCGTAATATAATTGAAAAACAAGCCGGTAGATGCTAAGCGTCTCCATCTCAGAGCGCAACGAGTTTTAGCCGAATCAGCCAAGCGTAAGCATTGAAACCCTCTGCGTGATGTCCTAAACAGTGAGCATTGTTTGCATTTTTGCCGGCCCGTAGCCTAAAACTAACGAGCTTGTCTTGTAATTCGAGGGCGCAGGTTCGAGCCTGCGTATGGATAGGAGGATCCTCTCAATAACTTTAGCTCACGTGCGATTGGTGGTGGTTGCACGGCAACGAAGCGTAGGTACTGCGTACCAGCGAATTACTGGTTCCCTTCCTGCTTGTTTGCAATTTATTCAACCAAACTCAGCCAAGGCATAGTTTGAGACAGCACTTTTTCTGGTTGTTACAGTTGAACAGACTGAGCATTTTGAATGCTACTGTGGCACAGATAACAAGAAAACCTTGTGAAATAGAACAGCCGAATTACGTCAACAAAGCCAGTCACGACTTCATGTATAAAACTGTAAATATTGGCAAGATAAATTTGCTTGTGGAACGTCTATCGAGCTGTGATTTTCACTGGCAAAATAATTAAATATGCGGAGGGTCTGGTGATTGAGTTCCGAAAGCATGCTGCAGAGTTCACAGTGTTTCAGCAACTGTTAGTGCTGTACGAACAGGAGATGAAAAAAGTTACTATGCTGTTTTTTAAGAAACTTCAGGGGTTGCTATTTGCAGTCATGCTACTTCTAGCTGTCTGTCTCGTTGCGCCCTTTTTTCTTTGCAGTTAATTAGCATTTCAGACTGTAGGGCTCAGTAAAGCTGCAATTTTCAACTATTCTACTGTTCATGAGCAGGGATTTTTGATGTAATTAATTGAGAGTTAGCCGCGCTGGTTTTTGCATCAGGTCTTCCTCCAAGGGCCCGAAAAAGCACTACACTGCAGTTTCAACCTGTGGAATAATCACTAGTGTGTATCCATCGGATCCGTCAGTATTCGAACCCATGATCAACAACCGCTTGCACCACCAATCAGCAGCTTGTACCACTTAGCCATCATGATTTGTAAGCTAACTGCGATATAGCGCGTCTTATCCTGCACTGCAGTGTAAGTTCTGAAAGTTGCACGGGACAGAGTCAACGCCAAAAGACACGACATCCACCGATAACAGTTAACTACGACACAGTATTTAGAAACTTTTATGGTGGATATTTTGATGTACTTATGAGTGGGAATTTTTGATGTAATTCATTCTGCTATTACAAACTCGGGGTTAATCTTTATGTGATTTTCGGTCTTACTCAAAAGCCGACTGAAGTGGAAACTCACAAGCCAATGTCTTGGAAAATCTTATTTCGAACTGTACCGGTTTGAAATGAGCTCCATAGGGACTGTGTGCTCTGGTATGTAATGGTGTATCACATGGCATATTTAAAGTACAAAGCTTAGCTATGCACCAAATTATATATTTTCTTCCGAATTATCACATCTCATTTAATTACTGCCCACATAACTGGGAGGAGGCATTCTGATGGTGACCAACATTGAGGGATTTCACTAGCATCATGAAGCGAATTAACTGTAGACGGTCCGCCAACAATTTCTGCACACAAAACAGTTGTCTTTTTTCAAACAGTGTTACAATTAACATTCACTTCACTGTGTCCCTAGGACTAGCTTGTCAACATAGTGGCAGCTGTGATGGGATAACCATGGTTGATAGTCATTACATCGGTTCAGCCAAGTGTTTTGAGAGAAATTTCTTTCATGCCCAGGGAATGCTGTGTCCGGCCTAAGGAAGAAATACAGGTTAACACATAGACATGCGCATAAATAGATTATTTTACGCTTTGGTGCCCTAAGATACAGAATGCATTGAAAAGACGTTGATCCAGGTACGCAGTTGCATTACTTATCCTCCACATTTCAAAACAAAGAAGTGATTTGGGAGATTGCTTGCTGTTTTTATCACGTAACCGGTGCTTTCACCCAGCTGCAACACATAATGGGAACTAATCAACCAAACCAGTGGACCCCTGAACGTCGTAGAAAAAGGAATTTCCGTTTGCCTAGATTACGTCCGATTATCATATGGACCATAGGAGTGATTCGGGGCACCTGACCCACTGTCCTTTCGAAGGTTTCGAACACTTGTTTCAGGCAGCTGTCGTGAAGATTCCAAGCACAGGTCAACCCTGGATTTCGGCGACCGACATGGAAAAGCGATTAACGCTGAGAGTGACTGCAATTTTGGCGTCAATAAAGTAGTGTTTATTAAATACAGTCTAATGGAGCCCACTTCAGGTAAGGGGCACAGTTATGAGGTTTGGTGCGATGTCAATTAGTAACTATTGTATCCTTTGTCGTACCTGAACAACAGTGCAAATTGACTTGTCCCCGTAATCAAGTTGGTTCGAACACTTCAGCGCTAATGTACCTTTTAGTGGTAGGCACTTGCAAGTGGGCTATTGAAAAGTGCGTGTGCTGTCAATAATTGTGCAAGTGTATAGCAACATGAATTTAATTGTGTGGTTGAGGGAATCACAACAAACACTGCTCAAACCATAAGGAGTAGGGTAAACAAAAGTGTTCTTATGATACAGTATTCACGTTTTACATTTTAGGAACCATGTCTATCGAAAGACAAGGAACAAAATGCCACCTTAGTCCCTCGTAATGCGACCGATGTGAGTCCAGCTTCGCCGGCGGAACTGACTTACCAAGTGAAGTTTGTGGTGAGTGAAATATCGATCCATCTCTTACTAGCCTGTGAATATGAACGTGCGTCTGAGACTCCATTTTCCTTACAAGCGTTAAGTGCTTTTTGGATAACAAAAGCGCTTATTTGCAGTCTGCCAGTATGATAGTTTGACATACTTACTACACTGTTCTGGGAAAGTCGTGCGCGCAGGAATAGGTAGTTTCTCCTTCTTAACCTGTCTGTTAGCCTTTCATTTCTTCGGTATTCATTTGGCCGTGAGTGTTATGAGAGAAATGTAAGCGTGCGGATGGGGTAGAGCTACACGCGCATGTGCAATTCCTATTGAAGTCTGAACTATTCGACTCATTCAAGCTAGCGAACGTTAGTGGCTGCTGTAAAACATTCATTGGTACGCTATGCACATAACGAATCACGGTGCCTTTTTGTCTTTCTTCTGTCAAACAACTTGCTCCTAATTCGAGCCGCAACACTGCTAATCATCTGAAACCCATGAGACAAACATTGACATTCTCCAGCCGCCACGTTGTTCGCCTTACTCAATGGAATAATGTGACAAACATGTGTAATTTTTATGGTGATGGACAACGTTTCGCTTTTGACACAAAAGCTTCATCAGGCGTTCACGAAAGTAGTAGTAGTAGTAGTAGTAGTAGTAGTAATAGTAGTAGAAGTAGAAGCAGAACTAGTAGTAGTATTAGTAATAATAATAATGGTCCTAGTAGTAGTAGTAGTAGTAGTATTCACTTATGCTCCCATCGACTGCAATTCTGAGGCTGGCAAGAACACATTTTATCACGAATTGAACGCGTTGCTACCCAGTGCTACCAATTCAGATATCATAGTACTTGCAGGGGACATGAAAGCACAAATAGAGCGTTTGACCTCTTCAGAAGCTCAGCTAGGTGGCAATTATGGGCTTAAGTGCAAACGGACGGACAAAGGCGAGTGTCTGTTGTAACTGTGTGCGGAGCTCCAGTTTTTCCTTAGTGGCACCACTTCCAGTCACAGTGGACGCCGAAGTGCCACTTGGCGTCCTCCTGTAGCTAGCTAGTGATGGTCCCAAATTGATCACACTACCATAAGTTACAGATTCCGTGGTTCCAGCTTGAATTACTTCTTGCTCTGGTATACCTGCGTCGACTCTGATCATGCCTTGGTACGCTGTCCTTTTCCATAAGCTTTACTGAAAGCGTACCAATCGTCTCCTTCTATTGGGGACTGTTATCTGAACCGTCGGTCAGGCATGTGGATGTGCTTATCAGGATGTGCTGCGTTCCAAACTTTCGCTCTCTTGTCCTAATGACACTGAGCTTCAGTGGAATAGGATCTCGGCCGCCAGAGCATCTGCATGTGGTACTATCAATCGTCATCGTACGAGTCACCGGAAATCCGAGAGGTTGGTGCACCTTTTGGGATACAGTGGAAACCTCCCAGCTGGCTCTGGGCACGATGCGGCTAGACGGACTAGTAGGCGCGAACTAAAGCGGCGCCCGAGTGCTAACAGGGAAGCCTGGTGGACCAGCCAGGCTCAAGAAATGGTGGAGACAGGAACAGTAGGCAATTACCGCAAGCTCTTCCAGATGATCCGCACCACTGGTCCCAGGAAATCAGCCGCCTGTGAGACATTCAGACAGCGCGGGTGCACTGATGCCGTATGAACCGTTGGGCGGAGCACTTTCAAGATCCGTTCAATTGGTCCCCTATTTCATGACCTCTTCCTACTCAGAAGATGCAGGATAAACCATGGACAGTAAGTTTAGAGGCTCCAAAACGCAATCACAGCCCTCAATCGCTTTCATCTTACTGGCCCAGATTCGCTCCCAGCTGTACTCTTTAAGGATGAAGGTGAGGTCTTCTACAAAACACTGACCACCCTATTCGAACTTATTTGGAAGGAAGAGAGTGCCCTGGCTAATTGAAGTGGAACGATTATAGTGTCAATATTCAAAATGCGCAGTCGCACAGGCTGTGCTAACCAAGGGTTATTGACCTGGCCTCAAGTTTCATTCGTCGCCTCATTGTGGAACGGCAATCCCGGATTAGGGAAGAGCAGGCAGGTTTCGCCCTGGGCTATAGCAGCGCCACACAAACTGCAGGCCGACATAGTTGTGTTTCTCGGCTTCAAGAGTGGCCGCCACAGCGGGGTCTGCTAATGCAGGGCAGGTGAGCATCGTTTGCTTGACCATGTGAATCGTGTGTCTTTATTTGGCTCTTCTTTGGCATATCATTGCACCAGTTTTCCTGTTGGATCAACGACGTTATTGAAGGTGGAACTTTCACGGGATTTTACTACTGTTCCGGTCCCACTTGAACTGGAACTTGAAGTTGAACTTGAACTTGAAACATTTGTGTGGAAATGTGTCCGAATGAAATATGTGAACATTTGATGTGCTCTATACTCGGGTACTAGAGGCCGCGTCGGGGTCTACGGTGACCTGTCGGATAGCTGTCCGACCACAAGTGGCGTTCGTCAAGGTTGTCCAATTTCCCCATTTTTGTTCACTTTCGTCGTGAACTGCATCGTGAAGTGTTCTATTGCGAAGGCTTATGATACAGGCGTTGAGGTGCTACCTGGTGAAAATATGGTTGATCTTGATTGTGTGGACGATATCGTCTTTCTTTTTGACTATGTTGGAGCGGCGCAATCAAGCTTGAATATCTTCTCTGGAGCAGTCCCATTTTTAGGTATGCGCTTCGCACCTTCAAAGTGTACAGTGTTGCTGCATGACCACCAACCACTTGATGACCCCTTGACCTGCGTTAACGAGGTACTCGATGTGGTTGATCCATTTACTTAGGTTGGCAGCTGCATCAGCAATGATGGGCGCATAAAAACTGAAGTGAGTTCGCGTATTGTAAAAGCCAGAACTGCCTTCTCGAACCTGCGGCGTCTTTGTTGAGTTAAGAGAGCTACTCTCCATCTGAAAGGCCGTATATACAAGGCCACAGTGATGGTCGTCCTACTCAATGGGAGCAAGGCTTGGCCCCTTCGCTCTGAAGATCTGAGGCGCCTTCAACTCTTTGATCATCGTTGTCTGCGGTGCATTGCTTGGGTCGGTTGGCACCAACGTGTACGCAACGATGATTTGCGTAGTCAAGTCCTAGGCTGTGATAGCCAAGCTAGTTCCATAGAACAACGCACTGAATATGTTGTTTTGGCTTTGGCACGTACTAGGTGGGCCTGCTCACTGATTACCGAAGAGGCCTGCCAGGTGTAGGGAGGCGCAAGGCGCGAGGTGGACAGAAGTTGACATGGCAGTGGAAAATGAACTTACTGACGACCAAACTGGGTGCCGTCGGTCCGTCTCGCCCTCAGGGCTGGAGTCCACGTGACTCACCTTGTGCTTGGCTGGCGTCGTTACAGGACATGACTCGCAGTCGGCACCAGTGGCGTGCTTGCAGCTGTCTAGTCGGACTACCTAGTTAAACTGTGTTTGGTGCTGAGTTATCCACGGAGTAATGGCTGATTATGACGCGTGGCAATGAAAGCCACAAGGAAGCTGTCTCGCTGATGCTGCCTTATATTTGCACGATAGCCAGCTGTTTGACGGTATGTTGTTAACACAAGGTATAGACGCCTTGACCCTGAATGTTTGCTTAGGGCATTGAGGTTTTCCGGTAAGTCCCCTTTCTCTCCCTCTTATTATTCTTCATTCCATAGGTTATCATGGCAGCGAAGCATCAGTTCGAATGACTAATGTACTGTTTTTGTGATTGTTGACCTGAAACTTTAGTCAGTGACATTGGTTCGCAGTTCACTTCTTTCCAGTTTACCGTTTTGCGCACAGAGGGGCGTCACGCATCTACGCTCACTGATGTTTCACATCCAGTCAAATGGACAAACAGGACGTTTCGTTGACACGTTTAGGTGATCGCTACTGATTATGTGGGGGAAGTAATTACTTAAGTTAGGCTGGACCCTTTCCTGCTAGCCTATAGATAAATCTGGAAACCCAGATTCCAAATCAATTTTCACCATCAGAGGCATTAATGGAATGAATTTCTTGCGGCTCCTGGGACATACTATGCCGAAAGAAAGGATCACGCAAATGAAAAGATATAACAATGAGTGACACAGAACTTAAGGATGCCAATTTTCCACAGGATAACGTGTTTTAGTCAGAGACTATCGCGTGGAAAGTCTTCAGTGGGTGATAGCGTCGATCCGGAGAAGACTTGGTCAGGTAATCTACGCAGTCAGAGTGGGTACTTTGATCTGGTCTAGGCACGCTAGTCAGCTGCGACGAACTAGCATCCAGGCAAGCCCTAGTAATCGACCGCTACCCCTGCATGGTCTACTGGACAATGTCGATATGTCGTCAAATACGCAGAACGCTTCAGATGCACCTTGAACTGATACCCCAGAACAGCCAAAAATGCAACCACAGCGCCGGACTGATCGAGTATGTAGACTCTCCATGAGATTGCAGTTGGGTCCAAGAAAGAATTTGTATGTTAATTTTCTTGGGAAAATGTTAAGTGAGCCGACACCGCTTTGCTAGCAGCCCAGAACAGTTGACCCTGACGCAGCCCGAAGCTTATTGAGCAAACAATGAGAGCATGGCTAATAATGACGTTTTACCTTGAACGCTACCAATGAGGATGGTATATCTTTGAGCCTGCCAGTATTTTATTGTACACAGTGCTTGCCGAGTGCTCAATACACTTTTTGCCTGTAGTCTTTGTCTTCTAATCTGGAAAGTCGATCGCTCAATGTATACAGTAACGGCAGGATATCCGTACAATCAGCGGAAAACACGGCAGGGATGTTGTTGTAACTCATTTGTAAAGATTAACTGAACCCAATGCTTTCAACACCAGTGCAGTTCTTTATCCCAACTAGTTCACATTGCTAGTAATTGCGGCCATTGTAAGTGTATAGTTCAGTCTGAATTTCCTCTAGACCGGACATTTGATGTACTCTGTCGTTAACTTATTTTTGATACCCGTTTTCAGTAACAAATTAAGATCAAATGTAAGCCATTTGCACAACACACAAGTTTCAAACCACGC